CTCAGGATTTTGTACAATTCTGCTCAGTGCTCTTGTTCGGGCATCCGCATCTTTGGTTGCTTGAAGACCACACACATAAATGAGGCACTTGTACTGATCTGCTGTCATGTTATGAAACATCGACCGTTCACACTCATGATTTACGCGACTCGAGTAAGTAACCCAGTCTTCGTCGACTCGCTTGGTCATTGTCAGGCACTTGTATCGGATATTGAATAATGACGACTGCTCTCCAAATATCTGGGGCAAAGTAGCAACCGCTTCATCGAATGTTAAATCAGTGCTCTTTTTCGACAAGATGAAATTCATAAAGGTTTCGTGCTCGGCCGCACCCAATTTCCGCAGCATGAGGTGTACTCGTCCTCTGAAGCACCGTCTAAGTCAACGCGAAATAGGTCTTCGTATTTATGGAACCACGATTCAAAGGTAATACCGGCATCAGCATCGTAACGGAACTCACAAACTTGCTGGGTCAAGGTTTCTGCTGAGGGGCAACGTTCACTTGTTCCTGTTACCGAGCCTGTCTGTAGTGACAAATTCTTGGTCAGCGTTTCGATCAATTTGGCCTGTGCTTTCTCAAACTGTGCCTGCTGTTGCTGCAACAGAGACTGCAATTGCTCAAAACTGACTGACATCTTTGGGTTCTTCTGACTCCTGTCGCCACTGTTGTAACGCTTCTTCTTACCTCTGGTCTCTGCCACTGACGACTGTTGTACTGTTGCTAGCTGCTATATGAGAATGCGACTGTCTGACTTCTCAGTCACGCGCCAACCCAACCGACGGAATACAGAAGACCAAGGCTCGGTGAACAGGGAGTCTATCTACACCATAAGTTAACTGTATTTATAGGTAGCCGAAACATGCTAATTTAGGAGGTTATGATCGCTCATTTCTGTGCGTCCGGTTTTCAGCCAGTGTGAGTGAGTTCCACTCCACGGGTTAATCATATTGACGGTATAGTTCGATTCGTTTAACGCGGACCGGTAATTGTTGGCCGATCAATTCTCAGTCGATACCCAACTTTAGCTCCGCTTACGTCTCTATTAGATGCAACTCATGCATACGATGCGTGGCATTTCTTTATGGTGAACGAACTCATGCTCGAAGCTGCCACCATCACCGTTGGCTTGATATGGGCTGCACCGCGTAAAGGAGGAAAAGTAGGCGTGTTTGTAGGTTATCCGCTTATGACAGTAATGTGAGCAACAAGAGTTAGAGACAGTCGCTGCAGTGCGGTTGCAGTGTTTGGCTCGATTCTTCGGTTTAGAGGCGCTGGCTGGTTGAGCGTATTAGCGTGGCAGTTGTGATGGGAGCTTATAATGCTGGTGATTGCAAATGCTGTAATGCCGATTGAACGTCACGTGGCAGACCGATAAGGAGTAAGCAGGTTGCCGGAAGCAGATTGGTCAGCCAATCAAACGCAACTTGATTAGATGTCTAACCGAAAGGGCCAGAATGATTTGTAGTGAGGACACACTTGTGGACGAGCTCAGTTTCTTAAGCGGCGTTTTCGAGAGAAACGGCTATTCAGAAAAATTTGTTCGGAAATATATGGAATGCAGAGAAACGAGAGCTAAACCAGCTTCGGTAGAAAAGAAACCGGTTTATTTGTCATTGCCATTCAAGGGGGATGGTATAGTGCAGGCAACATCTAGATGATTATCCGACGCTATGAGCCATACGTACTACGCCGCGAGCTTGCGGCTAAGTTTTACTTCACACAATCGTGAGGCCCCAACTCAAAGACAGACTTCCTTGATCATGTACTTCTTATTGTGTATATTCCTTCTCTTGTTCATGTCGAGCAAGATACATCGGAAGAACTACTAGGAGGCTGTCTGAGAGAATACGCGAGCATTGTCCAGCTAAGCTACGCCATGGTGGTAGAAAAACTGTGATGAGCGCCGTGTTGGCGCACTTGGTTGATTCTAATCACCATATCGACACCTGCCAATCTTTCCAACCCATTTACCGTGTACCTGGACGTCTCACGTGCGGTAAAATGTCGCTTACTAGCAGCAGCTGAGGCAATTGCTATCCGCCACCAGAACCCAGACTTATGTGCTCAAAAACGATTCGTTCAGATTCTGTGTTTGCCCTGGCCCTCTATCACAACGACTCGTTGAGGGACATGCCGCCGACAGTCCATCGATCACTTCTGATCTGTTTTCCAATGACCTTGAAGTTTGAACCCTACCATTATCTGCTGTTTTATGTTCTTCTTATTCCTATCAGTTGTGGTGTTTTAGCCTGACGAGAGCCACCGAAAACGAGCTTGTTCGCTAACTTGTCGTTCTGATGTCCACGCCTGGGATATTTTTCCACTTGAAACAATCAGGAAATAGTCGGCACGTACTCTCGTCCACCTTGCAACTATCCACTGAACGTGTAAGTGACCAATCAAGCGCCAGCAGGCGAAGGAGCACATACTCGTGCACCACTGAGCCAAGGCTTGTGGCATTGGACTGAGAAGAAGTGCGCGGGCGCAATCCCACCAATCATAATCCACTAAGCAAGTCAAGGTGATTTTAGACAGTGAACATGGCAAGCAAGCATAAACCAATGGAAAGGGAGCCAGCGACACTGCAAATAACAGGGATGAGCCATTGATATGGACTGTTGTAAATAGTGTATATACTCTATAAATATTTGAGCGTAATCTTAGTAAATGACTTCGCGGTCGCGGCCCAGTCTTCTTGCTTCCCGGAGTGCTACAAGACAGCAATATTCACTCCCAAAGGGCGATCTTAGTATTCACTAAATGCGCGATTATCTCAGTCAACCTATAGGGTATGAACCAGGAAAAATAGACAACGGTTGCGTGGCGTATAATTGACCGTCCTTTTCATGAGTAACAGACTTTAGTCGCTTCTCGATTTTTTTGATCCTCACAGGTTTACAGAACAACGGCAAGTAGGACTTTCTGTAACTCCTTCACACATGGCTATAACCTGCTACCTAATCATTTGGCAAGGGAAGGTTACTGGTAAAATTTGTCCCCGAAGATACTTAGGTTCTACTCTAACACAACTCTGATTTTGATCTCGAAGTTTATCCACCATGGCCCACACTGGTGGACACATTTATCGTCACTCACTATAATGTGTTCATCACTGTCGCTCGCAGAGCACTTATGCACATAATGGGTCATAGGCATTGTAGTAGTTACTAGCCCTATCCAAGCTATCCCGTTGTTTGCACGCGAATGAATCGTCCGGCATGACTGAACAGCTTTCCACTAATCACTTTACAGCTCAATTTCATTGGCGACGGTAGACAAATAGTCAAGTATGTCTGTTTCACTATCGTGTATGCTGCTATTTTATGTTGTTATCCGGTTTACAGTACTCACATCTGATTCACCTGACAGTCTCCGTAAGGGGAAGCACGATTGGACAGTTATATCCTTTCCAAAGTCGGTAGACGTTGTTAATCCACTTTGACGAGTAAGGCATGCAACTTTGCTCTTACTAGACTACGGCTTGGTCATTTGGTACGATTGCAGCTTAAATGACCAGCTTTGGCGCGCCACTGTAACGCGTTCTGCTGTCGTCGTATGCCTAATCGAGTTTGCAAGGCCACAGTGCAGTGAGGCACCAGCCTCCGAAGGCCCTTGCTCAGAGCTTACTTTGGCCCCTTCGTGTGCCGTGAGGTTTAGTCTTTGATCTATCATCGCTGTCCACACCGGATTCTGTGACCCACTGTGGCTCGTACTCTTCAGTCTTCGTCTTACACTACTAAGGTTGAGGTCCAGATTATATGGGGATGAGGGGCGCTCACAGAGCAAAAATGACCCACCATTTGTTGTCAGTTTCAATGACATCCATTGAGATCCTCTTGTTCTTTTGTCATTTGGCTGCTTGTTGTGGCTTTTCGTGGGATCAATAACGATGTCTGGTATGCGCTTTGTCTCACGCAGCATACACACTACGTATGTTTATCCATGTTCAAAAGAGCGTATGCGTACGCATCTCGACTAAACTTAGCGAGCTGCTTGGAGCTAAATGTCGGACGCTACTTTCTCTATCTGACAGAAGAGTTGTATACCTAATCGTTCCATCCTAGCGGATTCATTCCTAATTGAATAGCGAAAAGTCCTTTGTGATTCCACACCGCCGAATACCGTCTTGTCGGCCTTTGTTCACAGATCCACAAAATAGCTCTATCAAGAGTAGCTGTGGAACCCCCTGGTGCCTCACTTACCCACCGGCGAGAGCTATCCGTTTCCTTAGCTTGTGTGTTGGGGCTCGGATTTTCACTCATCGGGAGACGCGGTGTTCGATCGCTTTCGATGGTATAGGCTTATGGTTTCAATGAAACATTTCATCTCACTGGTTTCTAACTGGCGATGTTCCACTTGTGCAAACGTTTCTCACCAACCTATGAATTTATTCACCCAGTCATCACTCATCGACAATCTTGATCTGAATAAATTTCGCTGCGCTGTTGACTTGTCAAGTTCACTTTGTACGTTTCCCTGTGGACGGCTGCAGTACCAACGTAGTCCGCGTTCCATCCCACGTTTCAATGCACCAGCCTCACTCCCATCTTCGATAACAGTGAATGGGCAAGCAAACGCTTGCAGTTTAACTGTGTTTTATTTGACCCACAAGTTTACTTTACGCACGTGTATGTTGCAGGGGTGTCTTCATAAGTAGCCTGTGGTGAACATACATAAATTATCGGAACAAGTGCAGTGGATAGTTTTATACACATAATAATCACAGCGCATTGCAAGTGTGTGTGCTTGTGCATAGCCATTCAATCATCAATCGACGTGTGCATTCGTCAGCTTGTTTGAGCAACGACAGAAAATGATCATCAGCTGCAATGCACGCAATGTGGTCATCCCTCGTGGCTGACCCGCGGTATGTAGAACAATGCGATGCATTGGGACAGCGCTTGCTGACCATGATGTGCGGGCGATCTGCCTTATGGCTGATTGCATGCATGCCAATTGTGTTCCAGTTGACAATGTTGAAATTTTGTAGGCTGCATTTTTACGAGGTTGGCACTCGTACGTTGGCCCGAGGTGTTTCCCCAAATTTCCAGGCACCTGGAGTGTCTCGCTGGCTGGCTGACATGAAGCAGTAGAACTGAAAGATTTGGGTAGAAGAAGGGTTGGGGATGAGAACAATGCACCAGATCGGCCGCTATAAAATTAATATGAAACAACATCAGAAATTAGTTCAGTGTTAAGGATCCTTTTCTCTCTTCTTCAGTTCTCTTCAGACCCAAGTGTTTACATATCACCGATTATGTGTGTAAATCGTCAAAGCGGACTAAGCTTAGTTTTTAAGCTGTTTTAACGGTCAAAATCAGTTAGTTAAGACGGCTATAGATGGTTGACTAAGCGAACTAAACCCACCTTGATGCGTAAACCTCAGTAGTACAAACTAAACCGGGTAGTTAAGTAACAATGTCTGTTGGCTACGGTAGTAGTATCGGCCGTATGAATCGTTTGCGCGCACATAATTCCAGCTTCAGATGGTGGATGTAGATAGTCTCAGCAACCGACATGAGTTGTTTTCGAAATTTTTTAGTTCAGGCAGAGAGCAGATGACTTAAAAATAATTCTTAGAAGCTGTATGGCCACAGTCAACGAGGTGCAACATGACTGAGCTGTTTGAGGACCAGATTTCACCTTTGCAAAACCATGCCGGGATGTGCTCGCGATTTCTCTGAGAGGCGTCTCGTAGTGCGACCTACGTATCGTGCACCATAGGAGCACAACTACTACTAAACGAGCGTTACATGGGTCAACGTGGGCAGTCTATCTTATAAGGGGTTTGCAAGCAATGGCTTGTTATGATACACAATTCTCAAGCGCGCTGCGAGATAAATTTTTCCAACGACACCTTTCAGGCGTCTAGATAAGCTATCAGCTACAGAGTCCCCATTAAATGTTAAGTGTGCTCAAAAGTTCTTTCTTGAGTGCAATGCTCGTAGTTGGCTTTTGCTTTCGTTCCTTCAAATGCTTCATGATAAATTTGTCAGAGTAACTATTGTATCTAAGAACATCGCTTTATTTTCTGTAGCTCGTCTTTGACGGTATCCGGAGTGCAAATACTGCGCGCCCGAAAGCCGAGAAATCGGAACACACTCCTCTTATGCTGCAAAAATATTGCGCTGTAAAAGTTAGTGTACTGCCCAGTCCATGTATGCTTTTGGTGTACTTTACTGCTACATGATCCGTCCGAGTTGCGGGTAACTTCCACATCAAGGAAAGGTACTCGCTTCCCGTATTTTTGTTCACAGGTGAAGTATAGATTCTCATGTGCGTCAATAAAGGCCTTCAGCAACTTTACCGTATGCTTTTCGAATTCGCAAAGCACGAACGTGCCGTCAGCATACCGTAGGTACACTTCAGTCCCTCCGATGTGCAACGTTCTAATTTCGCCACAAATATAGCAGCGAGCATCGGCCCCTCAAAGGAGATCCCATGGCCATACCATCAATCTCACGGTACATTTCACCAGTGAATGAGTTTACATGTCTGTCCAATGAATTCAAAAATGTCTCTTACGCAGTAAATGCAAACCATATACCGTAACGGCTGCAACTTCGCCACCATTCACTGGACGAACAAATGCTGGGGAGAACCCACCTTGTCTAGGATCGGACACATTGGGGCGCCTTTTTTGTGAACTTTAGGAGGGCTATATGAACTCGACAGGTGTCCACCGGAGGGCTTCAGCTATTCCAATTCCTTTTTCTTGATAAGTTTAACTTGCGACATTCGCCCCCGGTATATGCACTTGGTGAGCCAACAGAGTGCAAGATGGCAAACCTTTGTCTAGCACGAGTAGAGCGTGACTGAGTCACCTTACTCAGCAAATCGTGACAAGCTTATTGAAGTAGTGGTTAGTGTTTCACAAGGTACGATGTCTAACTTAGTTATCGCAAACACAAAACTCAAATCCGCTTTCCCAACGTATCGACCGATGTCGCTGATCTTTGTTTCAAGTTAGACCTTTATCTGCCAGCGCCCCATACAAAGGGTAGACATATATAAGCCGATATCTGATGTACCGAAGTAATCACGTGATTCGGTCCATATTCACAGCTGACTTTAAGTTGTGTAACGTGCTGCTTCCGCGAAGACAGCCATGTGTCTTCCAAGGACCCCAGACAACACTTTTATAAAAAACAAAGTAAAGTCTTTTGGCGAATTGGACATCAGCAGTACGCCGGTACTCTGTACCAACGCTTCACTACCCCACAATCACCACCAGTCTCACTTGGGCTAAGGATACTGTGAAGCTCGCTCGTCTTCCACACAGGCTCGAACCAGTGACTACCGGGTTGCAAGGCAGATGCCTTGTCTTATCGGCCACTTGCCGACGAGATAACGAGTTAATCGTGAGTTGTGGGGCTGTTGGCACTAGACTGCCAAGTGCGCTATGATTACTCTGCGCCGTTCCGTCCAACGACATAGTCAAGAAGTCAAGTCAAGAAATGGTTTTATGCACCCTGCATGAGTGAATATTCAGGTACAAAAAGCGATCTCGACATTGCACCAAAATAACAAATCAGCGGCAAAGCAGTACGAAAAAGAACGGGTAGATAAGGACAAACAACACAATCAAGTTGAAGTCGACTGGTTAAGTCAAGGATGACAGAGTTGGAGTCTTGCAAAAGACGCGAGAGGTAAGGGATGACTGACGAGCGGTAAGCTTGTGTGTGGGCATAGATTAGCTTGTATTTCTGCCTAGTAGATGAAGTTGATTAACATTCAGATAAGGTAACATGTAGGGGACAAGTTGTATCGGTCAGTATCTTAGAGGCCAGTTTTTTACAAGAACTTATGTGTGTAGAAATAGGAGTGTCGATAAAAGTAGATATCGGAACACAGTTACATCTGGCTAACTATTGTAATGATCTGACAATTAACTTAAAATTCTTACCCAAAAGACCGGGAAAGATCACAGGGGAACAGTACTTCCAATGGGGAAGAACACAGGCATTGACAAAGCGAACAATCGACTCATAGGGAACGCAGGAGGCACTGAGCCGACAGGCATGGAATGACAGCCATCTGACTTTTGTGAAAGTTTCAGTTACTTGCATCGTCCAAGATAAATCGTAACTCAACATCACATCCATATAGTTTACTGATGTGGAGGACTGTAATCCGTCGCCATCAATATGTAACTTGTTGCACAGTGTAAGGAGCTCCTTGTACGTGGTCCCTTTGTGTAAGGAAAAAAGGATGTCATGGCACTTTGAAAAATTAATGAGACGGATCACGGGATTTGGACTAATTATTAAGATCTTTCGGAAGCGCTTGTAGTCCGAATGAACAATCACCGCTTTGGTGATTGATGCCCGGGATGATATTGTCCGCAAATTTTATCAGAGTCGCTTCAGTTGGAGTTGACACAGAGCTGACGTAAGCAGAAAGAGGAAAGGCGATAGAATTGCTCTCTGACGGACACCTGCGTTGATAAGTAGTGCGGAGGAACATCTGCCGTTGAGCCGGGTGATCTAAATGCGTTCAGCAAAATAATCACTCAGTAAATAGACAATGGAGGGATGTGCGTCTTGAGCGAGTAGGTCTTCTAGCAGTAATTTGCGGTTTACACGGCCAAATGCATTGCTGTAGTCAAGAAAACACATCTGAGTTGCTTTATTCCTATTGTCAAGCGATGACAGTGCAGAATGTACGAAATAGGCCACAGCAACTAGGGTAGACCTGGAACTACAATAGGCGAACTGGAGGGGGTCCTTAGAGCGTGTTCTGGACGGCGTCATTTTGAGAATGTACATTTGTGCATTTCGGTACGACCACTTGTCCAATGTCTGATGTACATGTATTACTTGGTGTGCTCAACCAAATGCATTGAATGCAAGGGAAGTTACTGAGCGCCTTCCAGTTAAGAACGCGATGGAACGTCGGTGTCGCGTCGAATGTCGACAAAGTACGGAGTTGCTTCAGTTTATTCTTGCCCATCCACTCTAGGACGCACTTTTCCTCCGTGTGAAGGTAACCGTTTGTTTCTCTCAGGTGCTACTTCCGACCATATCAAGAGCAGATGGTCCACCCCTTGGCGCTCTCTTTCAGCATCCCGTTTTCTTTGTTTAATCCCTCATGTTGAAACCAGTTTCGGCTGACAAGGCTGTAATCGGGACTGCAGGTCATATTGGTCCACTTGTCCGGACTCAGCTAACACACCGATCTGTGCCAGTATTCGTGGGGGTTTCAGCGATTCCAGCATGTAACACACCATACGATTGATGTGAAAAATCATCCTGACCATCATTTGCAGCTTAGCTGCTAATCCTTAACAAGGTAAGCGCTCAATTGTAATTCACCCCAGAATACCGATTAAACTTGTAGAACTTTACGAGAATCGTACACCTTTTCCAGTCAACCAATCGACATTATCATTCGTGGCCACCTTAAATGCTTGGCTTCTCTTTGTTACCCTGCTTTGTTTGCTCGACATCGATATATTTCAGTCAAGTTAGGCTGTAACTCGGGGGTTAGCCTATTGTCATTGCTACCACTGCACAGATCTTTCAGTTGGCAACTCAAACGAAGCCTGTGCAGTTGTCATGAAAAGTTGGAGGTAGGGACTTACATTGTCTTCACGAATTCTCATGGGAAACTGTATGCGATCTTGGCTGATAGCCGTTGAGTCATACTCGTCAATCAAATGAGGTTTCTGCTCTCCGCCTGATATGAGATTTAAGTACCATCATCTTAGGACAATTCTCACGGTATAGACTCCAGTCACAAGGAATTAGTCGGTTGCATTCAGGCTGTTGGCACCCATTCTGCTCTAAATCCATGAGTTACACTCCCTTAGATACTTTGCCGGGTTTATTTTCTGCCGTAAGTGAATCGAATAGTACTGCTTCGTCAACCTCTTGTACACAACTATCTCTACCAGACGCCTACGATTTAGCTTCTCTGGACATCCTAGCCACATCTCACTCAGGATGTCGGCCTGCTTTGGAACACTCCATACTAAAAGCGAAATTCATTAACAGTTTCCCGCCATCTTTCGAGACCTCATGTTTTGGGTTTAGCTTATTTTAGTCGGTAGACAAAACTATTGAAGCTCTGTCGGCTGTTATTAGCACCTCCTCGGCTCAGGTTACAGTTGTAATTGTGTACAGAAGCCCCGACAGCTTATCCAAAGAGGTACTTGAATTCATTCACTGCCAGTCCGCAAATAAGTGTTTGGTGATGGGCGACTTCAACCTCCCAGAGATTTGCTGGGCAGATCTTTCTTGCGACTCAGCGTCAGGCACATTCGGCGCTGGTCTGCTTGATCTTACGCTCCAAGTATCTTTGCACCAGCTCATTGACCTCCCCACTAGATACATGGACGCCCAAGTACCGTCTACCTTAGACCTTGTATTTGCTAAGTCACTCGATTTTCTTGGTGACATTACTTACGGACCTCCACTGGGTTCCAGTGATCATGTTTGTTTGCTCTTCAGTTGTACTCTGTCTAGACGCTACCAGAGTACTGTTGAGTCTCGCCCGAACATATGGCACGCAGATTATCAATCCATGAGAGCCAAGGCTTCGGGTTTACATGGTGAGATCTCAGGCGACGATACTGTCCAGGTTGCCTGGGATAAATTCAAGTCCTACCTCACAGAGGTCTCTGCTCCCTTCATCCCAGTCAGAAGGAGAAAGGAGGCCCGAGCACAGCCGCCCTGGATAGATCCCACTGGCAGGCATCTGCTCACAAAGAGGTCTAGATGTTGACGGACTTACCGAGATGCTCCGTCCACCGATACTTATGACAGGTACCGTAAGGCTAGAAATCTGTGCAAGCAACACCTAAGGGATGCTCGGCTCAATTTCGAGAAAGGGTTAGCGGACGAAGCTTCAGAGAATCCAAAAAGATTCTTCGCTTATGTCAAAAGGCGCTGCGGTTCCAACATGTCAATTCCAGTATTGATGCGTGATGACGGTACTCATGCGCATTCGGACTATGACAAGGCCTGTGTACTTAGTGTGAAATATGCGACAGCGTTTGTAAGGGAAACGTCTTTGACGGGCGTTGAGATGATTTGCAGGAACCCAGAGGGTTCAGAACTATCTGAATTTATTGTAGCGGCGACGGAAGTTCGTAGGCTGTTACAAGGGCTGAACCCTTCTAAGGCCTCTGGGCCTGATTTAATTCACCCGAAACCGTTGCATGAGTTGGCTGCAGAACTAAGCCGACCGCGCGCTATGGTGTTTCAGGAATCGCTTGACAGCTGTGCATTGCCTTCCGGGTTGAAGGAAGATGTCATCTGTCCCATCTTCAAAAATGGGGACAGGAGTCTGCCTACAAATTACAGGCCAGTTAGTCTGACGAGTGTAGTAGTCAAACTCCTCGAGAAACTGGTGAGACATTCATTGGAGAGTCATCTGAGTAGATTTAATCTACTTAGCAATGTGCAACACGGATTCCGGTAGGGATTTTCGTGTCTGACGAATCTACTGGTGGCTCGCGAAAGTTGGCCGGATGCAGTGGATAACGGTCACGCGCTGGACGTGCTTTTCGTCGATTTTTCGAAGGCATTTGACAAGGTACCCCATTTGAGGCTTGCACAAAAGCTTAACTCCCTCGGGGTATCTGGCCGCGCCCTTCATTGGGTGACTGCCTTCTTGAAGGGTAGAGAACAGTGTGTACGGGTAGGCCGGGGCCTATCGTTTAGGCAGTCCGTCCTCAGTGGCGTGCCGCAGGGCTCGGTCCTGTTGTTCTTTATTTATGTGAATGACCTACCCGCAGAGCTTGCCGTCCCATCGCTGCTATTTGCTGATGACCTGAAGCTGTGGAACATTGTCGATGTTCCTGGGGGTTCCGAAGCTATTCAGCGAGCATTGGATAAGCTTTGGGACTGGTCTACTTCATGGTTACTGCCTATAAATCAAGCAAAGTGCTCCGTCCTTCGAATTGGAGGAGGTTGTCCTCCTACGAAGTACTTGGTCGGTGAGTTCGAACTCCCCCGTGTATCTAGCCAGATTAACCTAGGAGTCGTACACTCTTCGGCTTTACAGTCCGGCGACAACTGGAAGAAGGCCGCAAGCAGAGGTTTCCGCATGTTGTGGTTAATACGACGTTCTTTCGGAGTCTTGACGGGCGGCATCTTTACGAGGCTGTTCTCGGCTTTCGTTCGGCCTCATCTGGAATACTGCGTCCAGGCTTGTCTGGGACAAAATGGAGCTAGAGAGGGTTTTACGGGTGGGTACTAGGTTAGTCGAGGGATTACAGGGACGGACGTACCCCGAGCGTCTACTTAGTTTGGGAATGCATTCAATGCACTACCGAAGGCTTAGAGGAGACCTAATCCTAACCGGCCGTATCTTAACTGGGAAGGTTGGTCCAGATTTATCGGCTATTTAGTCCCGCTAGATTGTCTGTTCTACGCGGTCATTCGTTGAAGCTGGACAAACCGCGGTCCGATCGGATTAGGGCGGAAATCCGCCTATCATGCCGAGTTATCGACTGCTGGAACATGCTTCCGGAAAATGTTATCAGGGAATCTACGGTTAAGAGGTTTGAGCGGCAACTTGACGCTCTTGGGTGGCAACACGAAACCTTTCCATTTTCCTGACTAACTCGCATCTTCTTACTTCGATTTTCTTTTCTCTACTTTTCTTCACGTCTTGGTATTAGTTTCTTATTTAAGTGCACTTCCTTATTCTGTACCTTCGCTTTGTCTTCCTATCCTTTGCTTACTTCATGTGATTGCCACAGCAGGGACTGCTAGGGCAGGAAACGTGGACATTAATTGGTTGGCCAGGGTGCGATACGGGTGTTCCGTTTTAGATCCATCAATAACTGAGCACTTCATCACTTCCTGGTTCGACGATGCACTCAAGATGGAACACTCACGGGATTCTCCTATCGTTCCAGTCCCATCTAAACTGAACTGTACATAAGGCTCCATTCACTGTCACCAGCGGTGTGCTAAAATCTGTTTCCGTTAAGCATTGTATATGACTGTCATGTTGCGAATCCTGGAGATCTTCCACCGTCCTGTCGTGAAACTCCTTCCTGGTAACTGCTAGATGTATCAAACTTACGCTGGTTATCTCACCCTTACCTAAAATGTATACAACTCGTTCTGAAGTATTTGGCAATTGAAGCATTTACATATAATGCATCCCTCTCAGAATGCATTGTTGCTACAGGACTAGCACCGGAGCGTTCTTCTACTCCCAGCTTGTACAGATGAACAGCTGTCTTCTTCTGGTGTTGCTTTCCACCTACAGTGCTGTCGGAAAGTTCTGTCTTCATGCAGTTAAAGCCCAGTCAGCTTCTTCTCATGTATGATTTTCGTGACTCATGCTCTTTTTTAAACTGCAATACTTGCAACGACATAGTCAACCCAGCGTGGTTGGACAGGTACAGATGCCTGTGGACTCAGCTGCGTGACGTGTTTTCTGTTCTTGACATTCAATATTTGCTTGGCGTCACTCGGGTTTCGTGTTCTTTGTTTGTAACAACTAAGACATCGTACCTTGTGAGACATTACTTCAATAAACTTGTCATAATGTGCTCACTAAGGTGACTCAGTCACGCTCTACTTGTGATATACAAGGGTTTACTACATTGCTCTCCGTTGGCTCGCTAGGTGTCTACACTGGAGAGGGTTGCGCAAAAACCGTCTTGCTAATTGGCGACAAAACACTAAATCACAGATGTCTTATCCTTTGTTCGTTAGTTCCGTGCGCCTTTTCCGATGTGAATCCAAAGCAAATTATTTGAGGGGAAGTGTGGGTGGTTGGAATACGTACACTTTTGCTTCAATTCAGATGTTTTGCCCAATTGATTTTGGTTGTAACTGGTTGCCTAATCGGAAATGCGGCGCGCAGAACTGTAACATAAATTTCTATTTCCTACCTCATCAATTAGATTTCTCATCTACCTATCCGCTACGTTACTTCCCACTAGATTTAAAAAGTATGGTCTCAAGATGAAACCTACCATGTCTTGGGAGAATAGGACTGTGTTCGGTTGAGGGTTGGTTAGGACGTAGCGGAATCCACGACTGTCAAGTCGGTAAAGCCCGAGGCACAGGATTTCCCAGCAAGTCAGGCAGCGTAGAAATATCTCACCAAACGTGAGGGGTTTCTGAAACGAAGTACAGACAAATGAAAACATTAATTCATCTCCTCCTGGGTTAGCGGGGTGGATTATCTTGCTCTAACTCGAACTGAGATGATTGTACGCTCCGATTGAGGCTGGCCAGAACACTTCAATGACTCAAACAACTATTTGTCTAATTATGTTGTTGGTGGCATCCGGTTCCGGAATTGGCTGTCAACGTGGCCTCCGTAGGGACAGCCACAGGACATCTGCGCCTACTGAGGGACCATGGGTGGCTTGCGCTGCGTCACCCACCGTTCTACCCCGGATATTTGCCTCTTTCGATAGAGGAGTCTAAGGAGCTTTCGAGCAAGCTTTCACTCGTATCATCCCATCACCGTGTTCTACAGCTATGAAGCAAACAACGTTCCCATCGTGAAGCCCTCTCAGCGAAGCAACTGTCAACTTTCGTTACTTCTGGTTTCATCCGGTGCGATCAATCAACCTGCCCAGCATGATAATTGTCTACACCAGACACCCTACCGGCGATTGTAAGACGCGCGGACGCTACGTACCAAGCACACTGAGCCATGCATCTGACCCAGATCTGACGATCGGCGACCGCGGGCTAGCCAACGGCGAGACGATGTTTGCCCGCAAAACAGGCAATGGCCATTCGGCCTTGACGCCCACAGCACCGGTAACCTGGAAACGAAGGAATTTGTGCTGCGTAACCATGTACTAAGGTAGTAAAAGTAGGGTTGGCCTGTTCCCGTTGCGCTAGCCGTTACTATCCGAAGTGCGTCGGCATCGGTCGAACCGAAATAAAAATATAACAGTACACTGGGTTCACTTAGGTTCTTTCCTAAGTGCATGATGGTTCCACTTGTAAAATGTTTACTAGCATTAGCGCAGAAGTACAACAGGCTAGTTGGTGAAACCGAGCATAATTTAGGTGCAAAACTTGCTTAGCTCAAAGCGGCAATATCACAGCTTGCATCTCATCCGTCTGCCCCAATTGCCATTTAGGAAATCAGGTAAATGGCTAGGTGTTCTTACCGCTTCTATCGACTGATGCAACATCGGTAAAACCTGCCCTATGACTGACCGACAAAATCCGAAGCTGTCTGAAGACTGATCCACTTACGCAACCGTTGCTGCTCGATATAATCAAAGTGCGACCTCTGCAGCCACGACACGAGTCAAGAACCAGATGCAACCTGCAGAAACGTCACGTACGCCGCCACAGCCATGCCTCCGACATCACCGAAGACCAGCCGGAAGTACAGTGCCCTGAGATATGCACCTATGTTCTTGAGTCCAAGGCGAACTCCTAAACTAATAAACCTCAGTACGACTTAAAATAGTGGAATGTCTCTAGTAATCCAAACAGTGTTCGGACCACGCCGATTAACTTAATGCTCCTCACAAGACATCCAACCTCGATGCAATACGGTGAGTCCAGACTAATACGAGTAAAATTGCGATCCGCAGATGCTGTCGAGACGGTGCTTTTCTCGGTATACCACCTATTTGCTGTAAACACTGGGATCCACATATTTCCGGATGTTCCATAGATCGAATGCTAGCGGGACGAAATCAGTGCAGACAACTACTACTCGGAGAGTATAATGATGATGATGTGGAGGAGAGTAGCAGAAGGATCATTTTCGTGCATGGATGCCCGAGCTACCAGCACCTAGCCACGAAGAAACCAATGTTCATGGCCCGGAAGTGTGGCGGTACATCCGCGAAGCTCTCTGTACTGCCGACGCTATTCTTCAGTCTCCTACACGGTTACTCGTGTCGGCTCACTACAAAGGCAGTGGCCCGAGGATACTGAAACTAATGCTCAAGTCATAACAGATAGCAGCGAAATTACTCCGCAGCTGGCAGATACTGCGCAACGCACTTCCTTCGGAACTACGGCTGAAGAAGAGATTCCAAGCCACTCTCTGTCCTCAAGAAAACCACACTACCGGCGACCCAGTATAACCATAACAGTGATTCAGCAAATTGTTCGCTGAAACCAGTAGCTAACGAGGAAGCTAAGGATGGACCACAGAACTCATATGCAGGGGAGACCAAAAACAGATAGCATTCATATCGAGACTTGGCAAGGCACCAAAAAAACGATTAGATTCCGGCCTTCATCGGTCGGCACAAATACACCCACATATGCTCCTCAGCAAGAGTTTCTGACATCCGGGAAACTCTCTTAAATGTACACTACTGTTCAAGGGCAATTTAGTAACCGTTCCGAACTGCGACTGCGTCAAGGAGCAAAAGTCTGTGAGTTCATCGTTATAATAGAGACATGAGTACGCACCGACATAAGCGACGTCAAGATCGCACTGATGCGCATGTCTGTCGTTCGACACGGCCGACCAGGTATAGTTGGAGCAATGACTCTTTACTTCCGCAGTGACCTCCAATAATAGCCCCCAGAGACTCCAGTCAACACGGTACATGATTCCTTTTGGTACCCGCTACGTTTAAAGGCGACGGCACCTGTTTGGTGGAGGTCGCTAACTACCCTCCTTCCTCCACGCCGGAGCTGGACTTCTATCAGGCATCCATACTGGGGCGCTTGATAAACCAGAAGTACAGACACGTTCTCAGTACTTGCGATTTCAACATCTACTCTCTGAAATCCCAAGCCGCTTCTGGAGAACAGTTTAAGTCGGATCTGCAAGATTTTATTTCCGATTTCTCGCTGTATAGCCACATCAACACTCCTACCAAATTCAGAAAATACAGATAAGCCGTCAATACTGAATCGGGTATTCATCAACGATAATCGAACTGGTGATCATCTACGTCCCATTGGGCCACAGTGATCATGTAGTCTTACTCTTTGAATATGTTTTTTATGCAGATTATCCATGGAAGTTGTCGACGTAACAAGAACGATTATGGTTGGCGGCACCCGGTTTCGGATTTGCCTGTCACTGTGGTCAGCCACAGGACGAGAACGATTATACGCTATTACATATTGACTAGACTAGGTGAGAAAATCAACTGAACGTTTCTGCCAAACGGAACACCAGTTGGTGCATGACATCAGTAAAAGGTCCAGTTTAGCACTGCAGTTGCCGACACATCAGAAACGAAGGCTATCCACCCGAGAAACATGGTCTCGTTTATACGAAGTTGGACAGATATATGAATAGCGGTGCGAAACTCACTCAACTTGGCATATTTTTAAACTCCTTCCGAGCAGAGGAAACTGGATGGCCTATGTGACCCAACGTAACCACTATATTCAACTAGTTCACGAGGATAATATGATACCTTCTGGATGTTGACACTGCGTATGGTTTCAAAACACAAGCTTTTTAGCAACACGTAGACAGTCCAGGTAAGTTTAAACGGGGAATTCCTTCTCTTCAAACAGCGAACGAACTGACACGGACCCCGAAGGATACGGCGATTACTCTGTGCCTGCAATATACTCCAAACTTTCAGTGCGATTAGTGGCCACCTAACTTTGTGGCATGGGTAGTCTCACCTCGAAAACTCACTCACATGTCATTCGCGGCAGCAGCTATACTAAAAAGCTGTTGACTATGCGTATGCACAGCTCTTTTGGAGTGCATAACATACACCGGAAGTCGCTAGCGGCGGCAGGTGATAGATTAGCTGAGCTTTTGGTTCAATTTTTTAATACTGTTTTGATGAAATGTACGTTTCCGACGTGGAAACATGAGATGATTACTCCTATTCATAAGTGAGACAGTCGTTCCGAGCCAGCCAAGTACCGTCCAGTAATCTTACTAACGATACTTGGAAGCTATTATTCCTGATGGGCTGGCGGCCTACTTGGTAGAATTGAACTATTTGCATCGGAACAGCATGGCTTCCGACGAAATCGACCGTGCACTACAACTATACTACTAGCGCAATCCAGCTGGAGCGAAAAAGTATAAACTGGCACAGGAGTTAATGTAGTTTATCACGACCGTTCAAATGTCTTCGACCAGTTAGACCATGACATTCTGCTCGCTAAACTCCAGGCCTTTGTTAATAGTGATCCTCTCCCATAGTGGATCAGAAGTTTTCTCCTACGCCAGCGCTTGAAGGTAAGAGTGCGTGAATCGCTATCAGATCCCATCCAAATTGAAGGCGGAGTAGGGCAGGGATCAGTAGTAGGACCGTGATCCATTCTGACGTTTATAAACGATATCACACGCTTCATAGGCTCGAACTACCTGCTCTATGCCGATGACATGAAGATGTGGATGCCGCTCAATACATTAGAGGGTATCACAGTACTTCAAGCCGACCTGGATAGGGTATTCGCGTGGTCAATCCAGAATTCACTACGATTAAATGTGGACAGATGTAGAGTGCTACATTTACAGACCACACCCAACTAAAATTACACTATTGAACGACGATACACTCTCATAAATGAGGCATCGGGGTAACCAGACGTTGGCCTGTTAACGGAGGTAGATAAACCAAACGGAAGGATTTGTCGCATCTCCCTGACACTTCTTTCTTATTCAAGACGACAAGTTCGCATCGTTAACCTGAAAGGTCCCCCGATATGGTGTAATCAATAGGATTGCTGCACTGTTACAATGAGTCGTACACGTTTACGTCTTCCATATCCTCATGATACTGTTTTTGACTGGGAGCGTTTAGGCTGTATCCTCTTGTTTCTACGTGATATGCACAGTGCGCTTCACCATACTCTAGCTACTTGATCACAATGGATAAACAATCGATTATGTACTTTCTTTTCACATTTACCCGGAGCGATTACTGTCCGGTTCCTGACCACGAAATCGACTGCCCAATATTTTGACTTATGTTTCAACTCACCCTTCTCCGTTCACTCGCCATAAAACTGAACGGTGGTTGATTAAACCCACGTAACGAAACGTTCACGCCGGTCATCCGACTTTTCTGATTCTCCAATGCCGGTTGTAAGCCTGTGGGTTGTGGGAGAAACAGGACAAACAGTTTGGGCAGTATTTCAGGTCACTTAGGATTGAAAACGTTTGCATCTCTAGCGCTCTTTACCAGCATCATCAGGAATGAATGTCACTCTAACTAATGACATGTGGACTTCTCGTGTGATTTGTTGTTGCGTGAACGTGTTTCCAGTGAGCGCTTTTTGTTTTAATTCAGATTTGAAGCATCCTGCTCACACCGACGCAAGTTGTCGCTGCCGCTACTAAAACATCTTACTAACGAAAATAAACCAATTGTCTCCGTTTGTAACCTTCGACTCTACGGATAGATTCCAACTCTTCTTCCATCTACCATCAACCTTGAGGGATCAGGTGAAGAGAATCGTGGATTCTCCAGATGAAAAATCACACCGAACTACCATAAGACCTTTGGAACAGGAGTTTAGTAGGACATGGCATCAGCAGTACGCCGATACGCAGTACCGAGGATTTCCTGCCACACAGCCACCACTATTCGCATTTGGGCTAAGGATACTGCGAGAGTCGCTCGGTCACCTACGCAGGCATGTGATCCTTTTGGCCAGGGACCTGTTATGTAATGAATATGAGATAAATACTGGGTGTTATCCGCTCGCAACGCTGAAATCCAGGTTAAGTTTCGTACCGGTCTACAAGTGTCAGGCACAGACGTTGGAACCGAATCTTGATGCAAAGACTATGGAGCAAGCTGGTTGATACAGCACCTATACCACGGAATTGCGAATAACGCTTATCACAATACTTGCTTAATAAGTGCTGGATCATTTGCCTCACTTGTTGTGTGGATGAATTTCCAAGCGCTGTCGCTTTCCAGACTTTGGGCGCGTGTTCTAATTCATCTACACAACAAGCACTTCAGACGAATCACAGTAGACAAACGTTAAGCTATTCTGCATTCAAATTTGCCTGCAATATTGGCTTTATCTAGGTAGGCAAAAGCTGTTCACCACTGTCTCGTAACGACGCTTAGGTGCCACGGGTGCAGGCTGAAAATACTGCGAACTCGCTGACATCTACGCAGACTCGAACCGACGACCTGTCTGTTACAAGTCAACAGCCTTAGTCACTTGACAGTGATGTGCTCGTCTCCTCAACCCCGAATCATACTGGCAGCGGTCTTCTGTCTGATAAAGCCCGGCTGTCGTAAGCAAGTGCCACCAAGACCATAGCCGGGTGGCGATGAGTGTGTTCGGCGTTGTGTATTTGGTGCAGCAGGAGCGAGTGAACCGCTCAGCACCGTTATATCACGCACCAGGCTCCAATCGCTGGGCCATGTGTTGCGGATGCCAGCATACCGCCTCCTGTGAGATGCATTGTTTGCATGAATACGTATCAAGATACGCTGGCATCCGAGCTGACTAAGCATTCATTAAACACACTTGAAGATCACTGGTCGCATATCCGCGAGACGTTATAAGCAACAGATGTATCTTAATTTAACAACTCAATTCGCCAACCTGGACACTGGGTCTCTACGCAGTCTCTGAAACTTCTGGATGCTCGCCGACCAGTTTTGGCTGGAAGCGGACACAAAGAGACTCGAAAAATTCTCAGGCAAAACTGATTGCTAGCCAGAACAGAGACTGCGATACCGAGTGGTCTCATCGTGCCTCGGAGATGGAGACAGCCGCTGCTACTGGTAACCGTGGGAAGTTTTTTCCTTCTGATACGAGATACGGGCAGAAGGAGACCTGGTGTTAGCGAAACCATAACCGAGGAGAGTGTACAACCGATCCACAACTTGTCAAAGCGTTTGGAGCGTTTTCCTGAACACTTTGAGAAGCGGTTCAATCAGACAATTACCAGCTTCATCATCGGCCAATGGAAGAAGAAAAGGGGAGGCCAAGCATTGACTTGTTTAAGTGGTATGAAGACCAATTCGAACTAGATGTCGATTGGTGTCTCTCGGCTGCCGGGCTGGGCACCGAAGGACGATGAACACGTTTGTTTGGGCACACATTTTGTCATTGCGAAGAGCCGGCCCCATTGACGTTTATGTTGTTAGTTTCTTCGTACTTCCCGCTTATTTTCCCCCTACAACCACGATCTCACACCCGATGCATAATACGATACTAAGCGTCGCATCACTTTTTTCGTTTTTCTATTTTATTCTATAGTGTTTGTATTACTTTTCATCCATTTCATCTTTTATGTTGCGACACAACAGCCGAAGTGTGTTTCTCACCTTTATCTAACGTATAATTAGGATGGTGATGAGCCACGTGACGGATAGATGTCGCACTCGTTCAAGGTAGCACGGAGACGGATAACTGTGTGGTTTCGTTACCAGCTATTAGACGCATACTCACTATCTGGGTGAGGCAGTCAAGTAGTCAGATGACCATTGTGTAAACACAATGATTTCTTCAGCACCGTAGTGGTGTTTTCCAACATCTTGATTGGGAACACCTGTCGCTTCCAGGTGTGATCCGATCACCTTGGAGGTGCCTTGCACGTCTGTCTGTACTCTTCGTCCCTAGTGCCCTTTAGCCGGCCCGTGGCATTTAGCATCACCTTGTAATCCGGAGGTCGTGGGTCCGAGACTGTGTAGGGGACAAGGCGACCCTCGCAGTATTCTTAACGCACGTGCGACTGCTGGTGCTTGCTCGGCAGCGAAGCGTCCATACTGCCTACTTGCATACTGCTGATGCCTTTCCTAGCGCCCTTTATGTCTGGGTTCGCGAGTATCGGTCTGCGCAGCATCGAAGGTACCAGTGCTCTGTGGTTGTGCGTCGTCTGTGTTCGTTCTGATATGAGGGGGAAACGACCGCGGACGATAGTGTGCTTTACCTGGTTACCGTGCGTAGATCAAGATACCGGAAAACCAACTAGTTTTCCTATTCCTTCTCGGACACAACTACTCTGCCGCTTTCACTCCGGTGAACTGATTTGAAAAAAATAATAGATTTCTCCCTCCTCTTATGAATAGCAGTCCGATGAAAAATTTACCTTCGCTCCTATTGTATATAGAACAGTAAGAGAATTTGGAACGATCCCATTTGTTCGTGGGAGCTCATCTAGATGTCTCATTAATCTCTAATTCACAGTCTGCTTTTCACCTTCTGCTGAGGTGTTCGGGGCCGAGAGAGGGACGAGTGGTCGCGTCAGATCCAGTCGTCGTGATAGTGATCACAATGGTTACTCAGTCGTCCACGCCTGCCGCATGCATGAGTGGAGCCTGGAAAGACAACTGTGCGCATGCTTGTGCCATTGTCACTATGCGTCCTCAAGATCAGTAGTGGACGATCAGTCGAGCTGACTGCGGTTGTATGATCACGTGTTACTGCGCACGCACGCGATTTGTGTTTACACTAGTCTACTGACCAATACAGGTCTAAGTTCTTCGCAAGCAGTTTATCAGTGGTACGCTTCGAAATTTTCGAGACTAAAATTTAGGTATTTAGTTAGTCTGTGACCTCTCAGTCAGTATGTATTACCTTCCGGCTCCTGTAACTAGACGAACAATCAAAACAAAGAGTGACGCCGTAATTGCGCTTCCATAGGTTTAGGGCATTCTGTGTGACCTATGTTCCGGGAAATTTTGTACTCTCACATCGAGGGATACTGCCTGAAGAGGTCGACAACTGAATTTCGTTTGTCGTGTCATAAAAGTGTCTAGTAACTGTTAGTGATCACTTCTTTCTTACACACCGCTTTCCCGTGAACTGCTGCTACGATGGAAGATGAAGCTGCTGTGCGATGTTACGCTGTCTATCGGTAGCTCAGATTTAATCAACGTACTGTAGTCTTACGCGGACCCTCGCAATTTCATGCTTGGAATGATACCAATTCACATCTCCGCCTATCCTATGAATATGACAGGCAATGTACGAATCTAGACATCCATCCACCAGGCTACTATTTTTAGCCTAGTAGGGAAACGTAACGCATTCTCACTAAGGGTGAGCTCACAAGTGTACCAGTTCTGGCTGTCGTGGGAAATAAACGTTGTTTATTCACAGATATGTACCGAGCCGTCCACGGAAAGCATCTTAAGTGATGGATCCCTAGAACAGCATAAATACGTATGTCATTGATGTACTTAGCTGAGATTGCTTCGTATACTTCTCGGTCAAAGTCTCGAAGACAAAGTAATGCAATTCCATTATCATGGCAAGTAAACTTGGTGTACTCACCATTACCGACAGCGAACAGTGCCTCGATTTCATCCGCTGCTTGACCAGAAATGAGCACGCGGAGGAAGTGGAACACGTCGTCGTTATAAAACAACTGCGCAAAGAAACGGCAGGAGGCAAAAACGCACAGCGTATGTTGTCTATACAACATCTGGATAAGCACAAGAATCATTTTCTAGCTAATTTTGGTTGCTACGCCTATGTCAAGTACACAGATTGGCCAAATAAGGTACTACTGGGACGGTCACCTCACTGAAGCGCCAAGCCAAATTGACGAAGACTTGCCGTCAAATGTGGAGAAGGTGTGCACCCCAGCTTACAACATTGCAGCATAGTACCGACTTCTGAGGAACTGTTTATCGTATTCTACCGATTGTACACAATTCCACTGTGCCAATGCGAGTTCCAAAACAATCTTGAATCCAACGCACAGACTACATTCCGACACATTTACCCGGTAATGTACTTGATATCATGACCTTGGTCATTCACAAGGCTCCGAGATACTTACGTTCTAATACTTGTACAACAAAATGTACGGGATCCTGCGTATGTCAATAGCGTGGCGTCAAGTGCACCCGCATTTCCGTGCTGGGAGTGTTCAGATGAACTCAAAGATCATGGGAGACGAACCTGACAGATACGATTACTGGACGCTGACTGGTTTTTGCTCACGTGAGCTCCGCTTAATCCCTCTTCGTTTGTTTAACTGAGCCAAACGAGGAGTCTGGCTGTTTATGGAAAGTACGAACAGTAGATTTCTAGGCATTCGTTGTGTCAAGCCTACTGTAACTTTCCAAGTTTGCCATTGCTGAAGTACCGAACTTAGCAGCATGCCCAGAGGCTCAAATTTTGCTTTACCACGAAACCGTATATGGCCTTCCGGATGCTTTTGTTGTATGGGCACTAGGTTTCCGCTAAACTTACTTCCGGTACGCTCCCATTTTCTTGGTGAACGAAATTCTACGCGTGCATGTCTTGGTGCGTCCCATCTCTTTCGGGTTGTGGTGCGCCTACTGTGCTTTAAATGACTCAGCTTACTTGCAGCCCGGTTGACCTTTCAGATATTTATGTGCTCACTACGATTAGCAGTGGAGCTGCAAACTTTCATCACCAAAGTGGTGACATCATCAGTGTCAATAATTGCTGTGCCCTGATGGTAGCAGCTCTTTTGGTGACAAAATATCTGCAACCCATTGGTCATGAACACGTGAACACCTATTCTCCAGCCTAGTAGCTGTGAACCAGTAGGCAACTGGTTTCACCACCTGGTTGCTTTCAAAAAGATTAAGACTAAACGCTCTGAAGCGAACATTTGTTTTTGATAATTCTTCCTCAGACTTGTACAGTTATATACAAAAGAGACCAAAAGATAGACACAGCACTAGGACCGGTAAAGCACTCAGGTTACAGTCACTGGTCACGGTCAATCACTGTCCCCTAGGACACAGTTGTGACACGTGCACAAATTCTTGGTTTGGACGGAGCAGTTCGTCTGGGCCAAGTCAAGCACAGCGTGTGAGTGAATATTTTCTGGACGCACAATTACGGCTCATATAGTCTGATCGCTAAACTCTCAGCCGATTCAACTAAGCGCTTTCGGACGCACTTTGCTCGATTTTCAGGTGGTCACTAGATAACTTTGTATGCCTCGTATAGGTTTGGGGAATGGCCCGTGTCGGCAAGATGCGTGGTAATGAATGAGTTGGTTAGCTTTCGGCACCCAGTCACAAGCCAGGTTATCTTTTTCTACATATAATTGTACAAGCCTGAGGAAGAATTATGGAAAACATAGATTCGCTTGATCACAAAGAGCTTAAGTTGCGAAAATGATAGATTATACCAGAACTTATGGATACAACGTTATCTTCCCTTTAGTCATACATTTTATAAAGAAATCCCACCATGGTATTCAAAGGAATCGTGTTCCAGTTAGAGAGTAGATATTGAATCACGTTCACGTGCGTCGCATAATTCCCTCAATGACTACAGGTGTTGGTTGTTGTTCGTGCATGAGTGTTCTTAAACTATCAACCTATGATCGTTCCATCTTCCCTCTTACATTTTCCAGATATTCACTTGTCTTGAGGTAACTGGCAGCTGTATCGCTGTGGAACGAAGTCCTCTGGAACGCGTGCATGCTGATATTTGAGTGCCTGAGTTTAGTGCATGTGAGCATGAATTAGTTGCAGTTCTTACTTCACACTCAGCATCCGAGTGGTATGTCGTTTGATGAAGATTCGACATAATTGTGCATATGTTTGGGTATTCTATCTCAATTAGGTTACCGCTGTTGACGATCTAAACAGAAATTCTTTAATTTTAAATTTGATCAATAACACCACAAAAATCTAGCACTAATTTAGTGATGTCAAGAGTGAATTGTACTTACCGAACTGAGACAGCTGTACAGAAGCGAGTTGCTGAAGATGAGTCCTCGCGCGAAAGGCTCGTTGAACCAGACTGGTAGTTTGTAGTCGTTTTGCTGTGTGTCTATCGAACTGAACAGGTGCGCGTTCTTTTCATAACCTGTTCGCAATCATACACAAACAAACATAAAACATTGTCGGAAGAATTCTCTTTTTTGCTCTATACATGTACATTAAGTCTTGGTTAGTGTTAAGACGAATGTTCCTGTCACAATAAGCTGATTTTGATTCTTACCAGGAGTGTTTGCGACTCAATATCCACCTATGTTACACCACTCTGGCAAGCAAGTTTCTGAAACTTGGACTCACCGACTATCATGTTCCGTTCTCACTGCTTCTAGTTCGCGTTTGAACTGGCATATCTAACCGATCTATTCTGAAGTCACTGACCTACACATCTAAATTGCAGTGTATCCACAACTCCGGTTCCTCAATCCTTCCAATTTCTCTGCCAGTTGCATCCCTACTACAGTTAGGTTCCTCCTTCGTAATTCACTTAGGATAGTTCGTGTCCAAATCAAAGTTCATTCAGCGATCTTGCTTGTGTGTCTTCCCCGGAAAAGTATCATTTGTCGCCGAGGTTGTGAATCGTTATTTTTCTCTCCCGTAAGCTGGCTATTAAACGGAGCACGATCGACCACGCATCCACTGCAGCCCCCGTGTGCCGATGCGCTGACTACTTACTGCTTGGAAGTAGTGTTTCTCGATCTCTCAAACATTGGCGGGAGGCGAAACACCGGTTTAGGCGATGGGTTCGATGGGCCGTACTATGACTATGGCAAGGGTTTTCACCTGGATAGCCCTGACACCATTACATGGAAGTTTATACCCTTGCGCCTCCACGATGGACATGTTTGTCATCAGTATCACAATTTACACAGTATGCAGATGAATATCATCGCGAACGTCCCCGACACCTTATACCTTCCTTGATAGCCGATGAAATCCATAAATTTTGCATGATCAACACTAATATGCACTAACACTCCGTAAAATACGAAGCTGAATGTCTAATCACTGGTATAGCTGCGGACACCATTTACAAATCCAGAGCTAGTGGCGTTGTGTGTGTGGTTCCCACAAACCAGAAGGCAGCTGTTCGCAGTGGCATAAATGGTCAGTATGATGCTATTTTGCATTTTAGGCTACAGGACTGCTTTCGTTTTATGTGCACACCACAAAGCACCAAACTGACCACGATTGACTGTCTCGTTATAAAGCACAACAACCTACACAAAGGGCTCACTAGATGTTGTGGCCTATGTGTCGTTGAAAAAACAACCAATAAAAACTTACGTAGTTCAGTTGTAAGATGAACGATTTGGAACTCTCGCTGTAGCAACGACCGAATATTCATAGCGCACAGCAGGGTTTTTCGGTCTTGTAGGCATTGGTCTGTGGTGCAAGGACTTGAGTCACCTCCGGAATCGCCCAATATTACACATGCGTTCGAACGGCATAACTGCACTGCGTGTAAGTCGGTGAAGCTGCATGGATCACCCTGGCAAAAAATACAGTCTTGGGGATGAGTTTGTAATGATGTGCAAAGTTGTCTTAGTAAGTCATAATGATACAATGTTTTCTCATGCAGAAATCGCAACGGAACATGTCCAGTTTGAAACGTCGTGCAATCCGTTATGAAAGTGGCCAATCAGAATGAACGAGTTATATCTCACAAACTAACCATCAGCTAATTGAAAGCGAACCGAATAAGTTGTCATTGATATCATCAGGTACAGTCGTCTGTCTACCCAGCTACTTTGGTTGGTCAGGAATTGTGTTATTCTCCAATCAGGTTTGTGGCTGGAAATCAAGAGATTCACCTTTTCATCGCATGGCAGCGGTATCGTTCTTCATGATTGCGACAGCCGTATGTACGCAAGCAATGTGAGCACAGTGTAAGCAATTTATCTCACTGAACCACCTTTGCTGAATAAGACGCTTACTCCCAGGAAATCGGATTTCGCGAAACATTCACGACAATGCAATCAGTAACTGAGCTCATGACGATACACCAGATTGACAATGCTTGCAAGACGACTTGCAGAGTATCAGGTAGACACGAACTGTACGATGGCACTTTGAGTAACCAGAAGAATAGAAAACTAGACAACATATCGGCTCATTTCCGTACACAGCAATTTACCATGTGTTGCGGATAAGTGTTGTAGAAGCGATAGGACAACATGCGTTCGGGAACGCGAGTGTTCCAGCTTGTGTGAGAGCATATTTGCAAAAAGGAATACTGAATGTTTTCGCTATGAAAGTGAGAGTATTGAATTCAAGTGGGTGAAAGTTCGGTAGTGTAGTAGTAATGATGAAGGAGTACTTGATTTACCAAGGAGTACTTGTAACGTTACTCGTATAAAGCCATTTCCACCATAGGAGGAGATATGGAGAATTGGTTGTAAATGTTGACACCCCAATTCAATGTTCACACAGACATACCCAGCCTATGCATCTCGGCAATGGATTTGTATTTCGGTAACAGCTAGCCGCGACCGCTCGTCGAATTGTAATTAATTTGAATGAGATGGAAGCGCAGTTCTCCACCCTTGATGTTTGAATACGGACGAAGATTACATTTTTATATCATCTTAGATGGAATCGTTATGGAGTTACTCCCTTTCAAGCAGGATATGATCCTCTTTCGGAATGTTCCGGATAAAGTTTTCAATCATAAATATGCCGGCGCTTAAGTTGCCCATTCCTCACTACTTGAAGCGTTCTGCCTACAAGAAACTGATGGTTGCTGCGGCTCACCAACCGTGATTCGTGGCGCCTATGTTTGTCGTTTCAGTCGAGCAACCGAAAGCTCCCTCACGAACAAAAGCATTCCATCTCATAGTGATCCGGGTTGGCATAGTCTCTTGTCAGGGTTTTTTCCAACTGATTAGCAAAAATATGTTATCAAAAGCAAGGGTAACCCATGGTGTACAATTGTGGCTTCGGGCAAGATGTAGAATCCGGTGTGTAAGAACTGTCCTCTGGTAGTTGGACCCAGGTCAATGTACTTGCCGGTTATTCTCTATCACATCGAAACCTGTACTGTGAAGCTGAAGAAGGCCCTCTATCGGGATCGAATTCATCAAAGTCACCCGCGACGGATTTCTGGGATTACACTGGTGCGACAGAATACCTAGCACTGAGGTGATACGCGGGAGCTACAGATGCCTGCTAGCATATATACCGATACTACAATGCCTTCGATGGCTTGGTAATATTCTCCGATTGGACGCAACCAGAATACCCATGCATCTACTGTATGGTCCACTGAGAGTAGGAGGAAGGAATGCACGCAAACGGAAGTCGTTCTTTCAGGACGTGATCAACGTGGATTTGTCAGTAAGAAAGATGGTGTTCCGTTACCGGGAAGGATTAGCAGGGAGGTCGACAATGGCGTAATGGCCTCAGGTATGCAGTTTCACAAATGGGTGATAAAAAACTAGCCCAATGTGAGCAAAATGCCTTTGGTACCTGACCGTTAACTGAAACCAAACACATGCATGCACGTGCGACCACCTTCGTCTATGCTGAGCAGGCTTGTTAACCTATCACCATACTCACGAACAGCTCGTTAAGTTGGCGACGCGTAGGTTACACGGGGAAATAGCAGTTCCGCTCCAGGCATCGGTAAAGATGGGCCATGTGCTGCGTCACCGTCAGAACTAGACTACATTTGTACCTTAGGCGCATGTTGCACCGCCTGCCGTTTGTTGCCGATGGCCCTGCTAGATCTAGATGCACTTAATGGATAGCCGCCCGGTATGGTCAGTTCGCTTACAGCTTTCATCGGTGTACCACTCGTTACTAGGAAAGACGGTATGGATAGTCCTCTGGAGAGTGTTAGGCGCAATCGTTGGCTCGTATGATGAAACGGACTACATACTCACTGCCCCTAGTACACGTCTGGCACGCTTATCTCACACGAATGATTTACGTGTTAGAGAAGTGTGAACCCGCCTCAGAATCAATCGTGACTCCAATCCATTCGGTTCCTAGTTTTATTCTTTCCGGTTTGCGTTGAATATGACATAGGTGTCTGGGTGTGAATGAAGTAACGGGTGGTGCACTGCACTCCACCTATGGTCATACTGTGGGTTCAGCCGTCCTGTGGCTATTAGCAATCACAGTGGCAGTGAATACGGAACTGGATGTTACCCCCACTACATAAACAAATTATGTTGGGATATGTAAACGTTACCTAGCGCAAACAAACCGCAGCTCCCTAATTTTACAACAGATGAGTTCCTTGCTTCTAAGCTTTCTAGGATGGATGCCTAAATGCTTTTGACTTCATAGATTTAACAGCTCTACATTGAGTTACAACTTGTCATATTGTTTTAGCGGTCTGATTAACCCTGAAGATAAAGCAATACCCAGGCAGTCAATCAATCTTGGAACATAGTCAGTACACGCGCCTACGGATGTGTCCGTCTTTAGTCTGCGGACGATCAGGTTTCACGTCTTAACTGCTAACAAACCGCATGCCGCTATCAGATTGGTGTACCGCCTTCGAAGCAGCGCTAGACTCATTGTTCCAACTTCTCTGCCTCTCATGTAACCACAAGATAAATCATATGTGGCGAAACAAGCGTCCATACTAAACCAAGGCAATTCGAGAACTTCTCTTAAACGTAGTGAATAACATTGGACTTACAGTACAGTAGGTGATGTGCCGATGGACACAGGAAAAGATGTCGCGATCAGGATGACTTCTATACAACGGGGTTGAGACACAGGCGACTCTATCTGTAGTCGGGGTAAGAAGACGGAAACTTTTATTGGCCTACCCTAGTTATCTGTTGCAGTATCGGACCCTGTGGCCGAAGACTGCAAGACTTTCGATGGGTCCCCAACAACATCCAGAAGTTACCTTGTCCCACCACAGAAGCGCTAGCTGTCAACCGGTTCTTAGAACTACAACGCACGCCTATCCATGCATCAGGTTCGTTGCCTCATTGTGCCTCTGTTTTGTGTAGATCGCAGCTCTTGCGCGCACTTTCACAACGTCCGATACATTCGTACCATTACGATCTGACTTCCACCCTTACAGGCACAACAAAGCTACTTTCGAAATCATTAGAGAGTATAATATCGCGTGTTAACTAAAACCGCTACACCATTTGTCTCTCTCTTCTGGGTTACTCAAATTGACAAGTAGTTACCCATCTGCAGGTACTGTGGTGTGACGCTAACTACTGTAACTGTAATTTCATTTCGTCGTACCCACGTCGCTGATTACTTATTATCCGAGTTAGACGACAATAAAGGGCTTGCAATCACGTAGTTATTACAATGCAGGATTTAGTGCACAGAATTGAGTTCATGCAAACCTGAAGAACAATGTTCAGCGTACTTACGTGTACAATAAATATACGAGGCAAATTTTTCAATTTGGTCCACTCGTTCGGACCGATCAGATGGCTATCTCCCAAGATGACAATGTCTTGTACAGGTTGCCAGTGAAAGCGGAACGGTAGAATGAAGTTTTCCAAATTCAAAGGCCTGCCAGACGGAGTTCCGACGACACAAACAAGAAAGTGTCGTCTGAAATCATATTCGGTCGCACGGTTTGGAGTCTAAATACGAAAAAGGGTATTGTATTGATTAGTTGAAAGCACTGTACGTATTTCAAACTAGTGTTCGTATGACGTTTGCTCTGGTCCTTAATAGAATTAGTCACTTATTTTGCTGCAAATTCTTGGGTACTTATTCGCCTTGTTAAAATGAAAGGCGGCTGTAACCATCCAACCGAATGGGATACGTTACATCATCCATCTTCTGTGTACATTCGGAGGAATGGCGTTGAGAATTAGCTGATCTACACTCCGTCAGTATGCATAGTAATCATGGGTTCATTAACCCGCTCGGCAGTACCCCACAGGGGCATCGCAACGCTCATGAACCTACAAATGCAACATCCTCAAGGTGGACATAAGTGCAATTCTCGTACATACAGCTTGTGCGGGACCGTCAACCGTTAGTCATTCGTTGGGGTACATTGGGATGAAGCATGCCAACCAGGAGAGTGGGTGGGTGTTTCCATCGTTTTCATTACGGAAACGATCTTTGTGGCTGATTCTGGAGCAACTACTGGATCGCGTACTCCCAACGGCTGACATTCTAAGGAGCTATTAATTGAAGTGATGACCGGCAAGCTTTGGTAACCATGCCATCGTCTTCTGTGGTAACCATACATGATATAGCACGTGTAAACAGATGTCAACTTCACGACAATGCATACTTTGGATCTACAAGCTATTAGCCTCCAGCAATCAGACCTCGGCTGTTGACGAAAATTTACAATCGAATGACGCAGCCGCGTGAGCGAGTTGATTGAACGGTGTACTTCAATGGTTTAATAGTATAATACTTTATGATGGGATAAAAAGCACAACTTTACAAGGCCCACAAGAAGATTGTTGCAAAGGCTGCGAAAAACCTCAATTAAAATCAATAATGTTTCAACGTGGAACGTGAATCATCAGTAGTAAAGATATGGCACTTTACCACACTGTTGTGTAGCGTTTCCCAGTAAGATGAAAGTCTAACAGTCTTTCAAATGTCGCGATGTCTGCCGCCTTCACCACATGGGTTGGTAGTGCATTCCAGTGGGAACATATTCTACGAGAGTAAAAATACTTTCGACGATCTAAACGGGAGTATTACGTTCCTAGTTTCAGGTGGTGGCATCGGCATTGCTTGTAAGAGGCTAGGATCAGCAGCAATGCACATGTGTGCTCGCTCACATTTAGTATCCGATATGTGAGAATGAGATCTCCACGAAACCGTTGGCATTCTAAGGAGAACCTCGAGTTGTAAGCGGTACCGCTAAACTGTACGATGGTTTTGTACCAATCTGCAGTTAACTAATTAGAGCTATTTTCAAACATTTTTCATTACTATTCTGGACGAGAAAATTCTCCCCTCCTAGCTTTCCTTATCAAGGATGCCATGGGAAGTTTTTTCCGTAAACACAGAGGATTTTACCCGTTATCTACCACTGTCTCATTTGCAGGTCAGCTATATATAGTTCGATATCTGGAAATTATTGAGAATACCTGTAGCTCGGGTGTGGATGAGAGAATTGATATATTCTCCGAGCTGGGTAATTTTGTTGCAGACGTTTCATTGCCAAGCTAGGCAACATCCTCAGTGCGGCTATTAGGGTCTGATTCACAGAGCCTCGTAAACCACTGCCGATATCTGGTGCACAGAAGCAATCACGTGATCATGGCTGACGCTAGGTCATGTGACCCAACGCTTCCCCGTAGACAGTCATATCTATCGCGGACTTAAACAACCCAGCTTTTACTAAGGAAACAAAATCACAAAAATGATTGATTTGGAAGATCACTGATGAATTAATCCAGCTTTCCTGTGGAGTTAGCATGGAATGGTGGATTACGGAACTCAGGCAACAAAAGTGCAACAAAACTCCGAACGAAACACTTACGAGCGTAGCTTTCGTCAGTGGTATATCACTGACCCAATGAAAGGACCCAGTTCGATCAATGGTTGCAGTATCAGATCTATATCCTGCAGTGGGTGCGACTATGGAAATGATGATCATTATCCGCATTGAAATAGCGTTACCTAAGTCAATACTGGCGTGTTTTCTGTGAGCAGTTGTGGTTTCCGGATTGCTGTGCTGCGTGTTATAAGGTGGCGGAATTCCACCGTTGCCAGCTCCAGAAATGCTCTTACTTCCCAATGACAATGGAAACATCACATCTATCGAGTGCCGAAAGGAGGTCAGAGGTCCGGCTCTGGCTCGTGCATCTTCGAATATGGCCAGAAATTCGCTGCAGTACACAGAGAGAGAAGGCAACTGACGGGAGTTAGCTGATATTGATAAGAAATGTATCAATCTACTTAGTCACAAGAATGCAGTATCTGAGTGGGAAATCATGCATTAACTGACCTGCCGTTCTCATATAGTGTTAGAATGACGAATTAAATATGCAGTTATTTACTTATGTGACTTAGCGGCGAAGTTAATAGTTGATTAGGTAAAATATGCATTTTCCCTTACACATTGCGAATTCATCTCCATCAGCTCGGGATTTATTGTCACACATTACCACCTATTGCTTTCTGTTAAGATTCTCCATCAGATACAAGAGTACTCGTTCCTTAAAGCGAAGCGTTACACACTACTGTTAGGTCGGACCAAAGTCAAATGCGCACAGAAACGAAACAAATTGACTTGTTCGGGAAGGTAAGTGTGCAATTTCCCCAAGTAACCGTGTGCCTTGTATCAGAACAGTCTCAGTTACAATCAGACTAGAGTTTTTCTGTGTGGCAGAACATTTGTCACAATCGCTTGTTTCATACCACTCACATGTCCCGTGATTCATTGAGATCGATAAATTCAAATTAGCACTCAGTCGTGATTTGAACTGTAATCAGAGTGTTTTCATACCCACGTCGGCCCGTGCAGTGTTTCGCAAATATACTTCCTGTCCGGTGCGTTGTCTTTTGACTCGCGTGGCGCAAACTAAGAAGCTGCTAAGTCGAACCCTGGAGACACAACAGATTTCTGGCGACAGAGGTGTCGCACAAAAATGTCCATTTCATTTGAGCAGATGCAGTAACTTCTCCACCAACAGAAACTTCAGTTCGAGAAATTTCAGAGGCAATTGTTCGAGTTATTTGCGCAGAAGTTGAACGTTCAATCTGAGCCCCAAGCTGCTGGCACACAGTCTTCAGTAGACGCGGTCACCACAGCAATCACAGAGTTCGTTTTCGATGAATCAAACGGAGTAACTTTCGATTCCTAGTTCAAGAAATATGAAGATATTTCCCGGGTTGAGTTTGCGGCGCAAGATGATGCATGGAAAGTTCGGTTGTTGCTGCGTAAACTTGGTGCAGTTGAGCATGAACGCTATACTAATTTTGTGTTGCCAAAGAATCCAAGAGATTTCTGCTTCGATGAGACTGTGCAAATTCTGACCTCCATTTTCGGTGAGCAGGCGTCTTTGTTCAGTATCCGTTATAATTGTTTAAAGTTGCTCAAACGTGATAACCATGATTTTATAACACATGCTGGAGTTGTGAACCGAGAGTGTGAACGTTTTAAACTCGGTACGATGACACCTGATCAGTTCAAAAGTCTCATATTTGTTTGCAGTCTTCAATCTCATGCCGATGCTGATGTGCGCACACGCATCCTACACAAGTTAGAGCAGGAACCCCATTTGACATTACAGGACATTGCTGCTGAATGCCAGAGACTGATTAACTTAAAGCATGATACCAAAATGATTGAAAATGCTGACCCCAGGAGTGAACCACAGATTTACCGCACGGCTGTTCGAGGTAAAAATGTGAGCCATAGAGTACCCAACCAGAAACCCCCGACCTCATGCTGGAACTGTGGTGGATGGCATTTTGTGCGATTCTGTACTTACAAGAAGCATCTCTGTCAGAAGTGCAAATGTCTGAGTCACAAAGAATCACACTGTCGCAAAACGTAGGATTCCAGGCCTGTCTCTACCCCAAACTTGTACACCAACTCTAACTTCCAAAAGACGTCGTTTCGGGGAGCAAAGACAAAAGTACTTCTCGCGACCTGTCGCACAGAATTTGCGGGCAAACGAAAGTACCTCACTGTCAAAATAAACGATGTTCCTATACCCTTGCAACTAGATACGGCACCGGACATTACCATCATTTCTCGATCATCATGGACGAGACTCGGCAAACCTCCACTGAGGCGCACCAATCTGACTGCCTGAAATGCATCCGGCGAACCACTGAGGTTAGATGGTGAGTTCACATGTGACATTAAATTCAAAGATCTGAGCCACCGTGGAACCATCTACTTAGCTTCTTGTGTCAACACTAATCTTCTTGGCATTGATTGGATTGATAGATTGAATTTGCTCAATGTACCACTGAATAATGTGTGTTCTGAAACGAACGCCATGGTGCATCATACAGCCATACCAAATATCCCAAGTAAAGCCATTGCTGAACAGTTTCAGGCGAATAAGATGTTACCTTGTGCTACACCAGTGTTTCGACTCAGGCGCCCGGTCCCGTATGCATCACCTCGTACGAATTCGGATATGGAAAGCCATTCTAACAGACGGTACCGAGCACGGCGCAGAAAGTTCAGAGTTGGAAACGCAGTGTTTGCTGCCTCTCATCGAGGACATCGAATAAGCTGGATACCAGATCAAGTCGTGGGACGACGTGGCAAAGTAATGTACGATGTTCGCGTTGGTAGGCAAGTATGGGTTCGTCAAGCCAACCAACTGCGACCGCGGTTTGCAAGGATCCCAGAGACACGCGACGCCGAACGATTTGGTTTCAATGAATTCCTATGCACTTTGCACCCAAGCACCTCGATCGGACAGGATACGCAACTCGTGGAACGGACTGAAAATGAACACCGACTAAGGCCACAACGGGTAAGAAGATGCGTGCAACCCTTTCAGGTCGATCCCCGAAGGAAAAGCTATACAACTACCGGTCCAACGATTTCAACAAGGGGGAGGTGTTAGGTCAGACCAAAGTCAAATGCGCACAGAAACGAAACAAATTGACTTGTTCGGGAAGGTAAGTGTGCAATTTCCCCAAGTAACCGTGTGCCTTGTATCAGAACAGTCTCAGTTACAATCAGACTAGAGTTTTTCTGTGTGGCAGAACATTTGTCACAATCGCTTGTTTCATACCACTCACATGTCCCGTGATTCATTGAGATCGATAAATTCAAATTAGCACTCAGCCGTGATTTGAACTGTAATCAGGGTGTTTTCCCGTGCAGTGTTTCGCAAATATACTTCCTGTCCGGTGCGTTGTCTTTTGACTCGCGTGGCGCAAACTAAGAAGCTGCTAAGTCGAACCCTGGGGACACAACAACTACAAACACTTTGTACCTGGGGAGCATCTCTATATCACGTACTCTGTTGTCTGCTTGTGATAGCTCGCGGACTCGAAGAAGGTTGTGTTACGATCCTTGAGAGCTCAGTTCAACGGAGGAATTGGTTGAGGCCCTTTCCAACCAGCTGGCTATCAAGAAAAGACTAATCATTCAAATACAAACGTTGTTCATCGAAGACTACTTGGAGAAGTAAACGGCCAAACGTGGTTTACAGGGTTTGCGCACTTATCACTACGTTGTATCCAAACTTCTCACATTGTTGAATTTTTTTGTTAATCGTACGCCGCGGTCTATAACAATTCAGTTCAATCTGACACAATCCGCGAACCAGTTTGGCTGCACGGACAAACGCCTATCTCCGGTCCTGCGAAAACAATTACCCTGGTTGATCTTCGGTTGACTAACCGACGATTCAAATTGAGCTGTCCCAATACGAACAATTTTTTTCAATTGGAGCGAAGACAATTAACTCAGGGGATTGCCGATCCGCATCCAAGTAACCAGTGCTTTGCGAGCAACAAATTGCTGCTCAAAACATCCACCTACACCTCTGGAATTATACACTCCAGACTGCCATCAGAGTTGACGGCTATCATGAATTAATCAGGAATGTAAATCCCCGATTTGGTCACTGCTAAGCTCTACATGACCGGCAGTGATCGCTTAGGTCAGCACACCAACCGAAAGACAGGTGCGGGCATTGTGAAGAGCTGTTTTAGCCTGTCTAGCATGTCAGAATTGCTAGTTAAGCCACCGTAACTTGCACGAGACCTAGATGCAACGAACCCGACCATCTATGACACCAGACACCAGCTAGTGCTGCTTTAGCGAAACAAGGAACATGGCCCAGACGGCCTTCTGCTATTGTTGCCGAAGAACACCGCTGATTTTGTAGTGACTACCTTGCTTTCTCTGTTCTGTGCTATAGGAGGCAAGAGGTACCATCCAACTGGTGGTTGTCGATCGTCATTCACATTTTGAAAAACTTCAAAGAGCTATCGTTGTATTCGGTCTCAGGTGGCTTCAAACTAATGCCAAGCATCATGCTTTGGCGATCCTCTGCTCCCCGTGCGAAACGAATCAGTGAAAGTCAGACAACCTTCGGTCCCGGCAGAGAGTGTATGGACCACATTATTATTGGCGGAGGGAAATGAGGTAAGTGACTACGAAACCGGGCGCTGTTGGTCCGTCCCGTTTCCCGGTTGAATCGAGAGGTTACCGGACAAGGCTCGTAGTCAGCATCAGCGGCACGTCTGTTGTCTGCCAGTCGGATTGTTTGTTTACATGTGTTTAGTGCTGTCTTCGAGGTAATAGCTGTTTATGTTGTGGGGCAGTTAAAGTCACAATGAAGCAGTTTCACCGAGGTCGCCTTATCTTGGAACGACAGCCAATCGTTCGCGTCTGCATGCTGTTGACACAAGATGCAGCCGCTTTGGCCCTGAATCTTTGTTTATAGAATTCAGATTGTACATTAAGTCCCTTTTCTCTCCCTCTTCTTAGTTTACATTCCGTAGGATATTGTGATTTTCAGGCAGCGAAGCACCAGTTCAAATAGTCGACGTGATGCTGAAACTATAATGATTGTTACGCTTCGAAAGGTGCTTGGACTGCGCTATGTTTATAACGCAGCGCTCGTGGTAGTCTTTCTCGACCTGTCGGCTACCTCTGGTTCCCTTGATCATGCTTGTTTGTAGTATCCTATGGGGAACACTTGTTCTTCAAATTTTCACAGGCAGAGTGTGTCGCGACTGTTTCAGTCCACCATTTCTTTTTAAATTTGTGATCGAACTGAGGTAGGTGGGCTTAGTTGCGCCTCATGTTACTTCTCCTGAGGACAATGTTCTTCTGGGCGGCCAATTAATAGGCCTACAATGCGCAGAAGACATAGCTCTCTTTTGGTCGGACCAAGCTGCT